TATGATGAAAGAGTTCAATCTTTGCAATGAGCAGAATACTTGAAATATTCTAAAGATGCCTGTGGAACTGATCTAAAAGGAATTAATCCTGCGCAGCGATCCTGAGAGGATCACTATTGTAGAAGTTGCAATCTGCTGCATTTTCAAAGGTAAATCGTAATGTCACAAGAATCCGTGGGAGCTTAATTCAGTATCAAGTTAGGTTAAATCTGAATTTTTGTAAAATTGTGCAAGCCAGACCAAAACATACAATTATCATAGCTCATGGTGCACCTTTAATTTTAGAAGGTTGCTGAACATTGAGAAGTCTATTAAAAAAAAAAAAAAAAAAAGAAACATCGGGTCAATTCCTCACTAAATTTATCGCCTGCACAAATACCAGTAGCATTTCCTCTGAATTTTGCAGAAAATTTCATTCAAAATTTGAATATCAGTAGCCATACCAATAATGAGTAGTTACAAGATTTTGTAGCAAAGAGCTGTTCGACCGTAAATGTGTTCAGACTTTGAAAAAACATAAGAATTCCAAAACTTCCGTAGATTCTCTGGGACAATTGAAGCCTCACTCTAACTTACAGATCATACTTTAAACAAAAAAACCTACAGTAGGCAAATTCAATGAATCTTGTTCAATTACGAATGAGGATTCGCTAATGCTCAACTGAATAATCTACCACGAGCCCTCACAGAAGAAAATAAAAGGAATAATATTGGAATAATTGAGGAAGCAGATATGGGCTATCCGCAAAACCAATTCTACTGCTCCAGCCGTAAACAGATTGGCCGCTATAAGCAAAAAACAAGGGTTCCTTATAAGCTTTTCACCGGTAATCTCGAATAAGTGTTTCGTATGGTGAATTAAGTACCATTTACACTTCTCCCATAATATAGTTCTCAATGCGAGCAACGCTTATGTAATAAACGAACAAGGAAATATGCCCAAAAATCGAAGCATTAAAAAAGAAGGCCACGCAAACTACTCGTGTGCCAGCAACTACAGGTAGACAGCGTTGAAGTGGAAGAAGTTCACAGCTACACCGAGTTTGGTCAGCAAGTAAATATGCGCCACAATCGTCAGACGGAGAGGCACTGAAGGTCAAATGGTATTTGAAGTGTGGACAAAATTAGCATACAAAAAAAGTCAGATGATCAAATTGGTGCGGAACCAGTAGCAAACATGCGTAAAAGTTTTCTAGCGCCGAAAGCCATGGCAGGCCCAAAACGTAGAGATTTCTTCATTATACAGCAATGTCAGATCAAGTGATTCAGTTCCCAGTACAAATCTGTCCCACGTATTTCTGTTCGGATGAATCAATTAGAAAAATAAATCTGCTCAAAGCGCTAAAAATGAAAAATTTTTGAAAATATGTCTTCATAGAGAAGCAAAATGCATAAGTAAAATGGACATGCGTGACCGATCGTGCGAAAATTTTTGCCCAAAACAGCGTTTTTAACTAAATTAGTACCTCAGCTGTGCTCAGCACCATCCTCGTTTTCAACAATTTGTGCCAGCTGATAATGCTGCTTTCGGAGCTGTGCCAGATGCGCCCTTTCACGTGTTAATTTGTCTTCCAGTTCTAGCACACGTACCTGACTCTCCATCTCTTGCTTCTTGGTATCATGGAGAGAGTAGTGGCTGAAGTCGAGATCTTCTGAAAATCCGTTCTATTCATTCAAAGCATGCTATATCCACATTTACACACTGTGAAAACTTCATTACTTATGCTAATTTGCTCAAAGGATTACTGCAAAAAAAGTCCACCTCAAAATTCACTGCTGTTTTTGAACTTTTTTAACCAAAAACAGAATTATCAACAGAAAAAAAAATCCGGAATTTTGCATTTGCGGCAAAATATGGATTTACGAGGTAGCTAGACGAAAATCCGAAAATGGTGCCATTTCAATGAAGCTACGCAAAATTTTCCAAAAGCGGGAAAATTTTGCACTCAAAAATCACTAGACGATAAAGTAGAGTGCGATGTTTTCTTCATCAACCGCTGGATATACC